AGCTTGCGGCGAGAGTTTTCCCGTGGCAGCGTGGGCTGCAGCTCCGGCAGGAGGTTCCCCAGCTGGCCCGGGGTTCAGCGCCGGAGCAGCAGGGGGCACTGCAGGTCAGAAGCCCAGTGCCGTGGCCGGGGTGGCTGCAAGCCACGGGCCAGGGGTTTGCTGGGACGTATCAGGGGATCTTGCGTCTCATCTCCGATGGGGTCTCACTCTTCCCTGGAACAGCCCCAGGCAGGTGACCTTGCCCTCGGGGACTCGTGGCTGAAGAGGAGGGAGCCGCAAGCCGTGACCTGCTTAGCTTCACCTCCTGGACGGGCCCTGCAGGCTGGGCAGGTGGCCCCGGTGCTGGGCTGGGGTCAGAAGGGAGCTGTCCTGCAGGGCACGCAGCCTGTGCCCTCCCCCCCACGATCGCTCTGGCCCTGCAGGAGGAAATGTCGTTGATGCTTATAATGACTTGGCATTTCCTGATGCTCTTTGCACAACTTTCTCGCTCACTTTTAAAGCCGCTCTCTTGTTTGGCTGCTCTTGGCGCTCACGGTAACTCCCCCTACCCCCCACCCCTTCCCGGAGTGGGCTGTGACCATCGCCGCAGCCCCAAGCGCTGCCTGCATGGGCTCCTGTGGTGGGCAGCTGGCTTCGGACTGCGCCGGTGATGGAGCTGCCAAAGGCTGGGACGCCGTTGCCGGCCATTCCCTGTGAGCAGGTAACGATGGCAAAGAGCCCACGGGCAGTGGCAGGTGGCAGCACTCCCCAGCGTGCCGTGATGGGGGTTGTCACCGCAGGCAGGCTTGGCGGGGGTGGTGGGGGGAGCCAATGCTCTAGGAAGCGAGACCTGCTTTCTTTGCATGTTGTGAAGACAAGCTGATGAGGAAATGGAGCCCTGCTCCTCTCTGCAGCAGCGGGAGGGTGGTCGCGTGCATCAGGAGAGCTGCTGGAAGCCCCTTCCCTGTTTTTACTCCCTTTGGATCCAAGCCAGACAGGTACTGGGCACTTCCCCTACCGCGGTGAGCATGCAGGGGTGCTCTGCCCCGGCCAGATTGGGTGCCGTGAAGCATCGGACCTTGCTGCGGAGGGCTGATTCATATAGCGCCTTCCTGACCGCGCTTTAGCAGGCTTGTGCAACACACACATCCCACGGAGAGTGGAGGGGAAGGCATGTTGCTTGGGGAGACCCGTTAGAGCTTTCTCATCCTGATGTGTCTCTGCTTGGGTCAAGCAGCATGTGTAAGGGAAGAGGCACCTCTGGGGTAGACAGGGTGTCATGGTAAGCATGTTGGATCCCACTAGTGGGATGGGAGGCACTTTGAGCAGGGTTTCTAGCTGGTGGAGATTTCACCAGCGGTCCAAAGGCCAAGCAGGGGCTGTAGAAACCCCTTCCTCCCCTTTGTGGAGAGCTTCACGCAGGTGGCACCGTTGAACAGGGAAAGCTGCCTGTGTTGTAGGGAGCGTAACCTCCTGGATGAGACTTTGTGGCATCTTCAGGCTGGACCAGAGAGGCTCCTGGGAGTATCTCTGCTGGGCTCTTCCAAAAGGGAGGGAAGAAGTGACTTGACATCATCTCCACCTCCATCTTAAAACCCATCCCATAACCAGGAGGAATCAGTTTGTGTTCTCATTCCACTTCCTTGGCAAACCCTACCCAAGCTGGATGGGTCAAAGCCTTGGAGAGTGTTGTGCTACTCTCCATCTACCAGGTGGGCAAGAGAAAGAGAGAAGCGAATAGGAAGGACCTGCTTCCTAGCTTGCCTGGTCTGCATGGGTTTATTTCCTTGCATTGGCCCCTATCACAGGCCAGGCTGCCTGGAGCAGCCCTCCCACCTGCCTCCTGCAAGCTCCACCTTCTTCCGTCTGTCTGAGCCTTATCTGTCCATCTGCAGTGGAGCTGTGGTGAGCTGCCCAGGAGAGTGTGCAGCTCTCCATCCCGAGACATGCAGTGCCTCGGAAATCTCGGCTTTAGCACAGGATGGAGGCACCCGTGGGTTGTGTCCATGGCCTGGTGCAAGCAGATGGGTTTGGAGGAAGTGGCTGCATCCAGTTTCCTGCAATATGGTCACTGGCAGCAGTGATGCCATAAGCTCAGCCCATCACTCTTGCTTGACCTGCTCCTAGCTGCTGTCCCGTCATGGATGTGTCCCCCACACAGCCCCCCAGTAGGTTAACAGGCAGCGGTCACAGAGGAAGTTCTTGGCCCAGGCTCAGGTTGAATCTGCTCCTGCCCCTGTGCTGACAAAAGCTGGTCTAACTTAGCAGAAGCTTGTGCTTTTCATTTTAGTGAGCCCTGATTCAAGCTGGGGGAGACATTGGGGGTGGGATTGCCATGGGGCCTCTGGGAGAGAAGGGCTGTGGGACCTTCAGGGTCAGGCTGGTGCTGCATTTGGTGCCAAGAAGGAATTTACCCCATGGTCGGATTGGGATGGGCTGCAGAGGGTTTTGTCTGCCTCTCTAGCAGGCCCTTTTTGGGTCTCTTTTTCCTTGGATCCCTTGAGTGCGTGTAACAAAGTACTTCCTGCTCCTGTGGTGGCGGGATGTTGACCGTGCCTGCATCTCCCTGCTTTACTGGTGGCTTGTGAAAGGGTGCTTTTGATGTTTGGGGGGTTGCTCTTGAATTTGCAAGAATAAATGTGACAGTCGGGCATCTGGGCTGGTTTCACATAGGGATGATCCTGTCTCGAGCAGGGGGTAACTCGAAAGTTTGCGGTATGCATCTGCAGTTACAAGCTCCTATTTTGGCACAACAGACTGGGCTGCTGGGCAGATGCAAGACAAGAACAAACGTTAATAGCAGTCGAGGCCCATCAAGCCTTTCTCTCTGCTGTCATCCCCTTTCTTGTCTCAACCACCTGTCATCAGCCTCCCTGGCTCTTCGGTTCAGTGTCTCTATTCCCAGCTAATGACTTGGGTGTTTGAAAAGCTTCACGATCTTTGTACAAGCACCTTCTTGGAAGATGAGCTGCTTGGCCCCTGCAATCCAGGAGTCATCGTGACCGGCCTGGCAGGCCAGAGAAACTCACCCAGTAATTCCTGTGTTGAATTGACTGGTTTGTGTTGGACTGCAAATGAGGAGGAAGGTGGGGGGTGGAACAGATGATCTGCCGTAGGCACGAGGGTCTCCACCAAAAACCCATGCCCTTTCTCTCCTGACAGCACTTGGGTGGGTGGGGCAGGTGTTTCGTGGTTCCAGCTAGGAGCGGTTTATTTTTCTTATGCTTTCAATATAATATCTTGCTATAAACGAGACAAGCGTGTTATGTTCCCATCTCTCCGTGTTTACCCACAAACACTGCTGGCTGCATCAGCCCCCTGGCATCTGCTGGGAGACGGTCACCAAGATAAAAGCACAAGGCCCTCCTTGCCTCTTGCAGCCAGTGTTGGTTTTATTGGTTTGCAATCACAGCTCTTGTCTTTCACATGGTCAACTGGTCTCTTCGGGGTTCATAAGTGTAGCCCGCAGGGGTCTGCACTGGATTCTCTTTGGGGTGTTTGCATAGTTTTTTCACACCAGTTTCTCCCTTTGGAAAAGGGGTAGGAGGAGGACTCTCCTTAGTTTGACGCTCTTCTTCTGAGCAACTTTAGGCATTCCTACTATGCAGCAGTGTGTACCTATATGGAAATCATCAAAGAGTCATGCTGGTAGGGCCTTGAGGAGGTCTTTTCATCCAGCCCCCTGCACATGGAAGGATCACCCCTATCCAAACCAAGCAGGTTTGTTTGACTTGTGCTTAAGCATTTCCACTGATGAAGATGCTGCGGGCTCTCTAGGGTTTAACCAGCCTCAGAGTGAGAACGTCCATCCTAGTGTCCAACCCAGATTCCCCTTGCTGCCATTTCGGCCCATTACACAATGCTGAGCGGAGCATAGATAAGGTGCACCAAGTGCCCCAAAGGGCTCACGATGAAAGGTAAGCCCAACACGCAGAAAAAGGGCGTGGATCTGGGCCTGCATCGTGCCTGAGATGTCTGTGCTGCTAGACTGGGAAGGATTACAGAGAGCATCATGCTGCATCTTGGATGCAGAGGATAAAGTCCCTTTCAGCAGGTGCACGGGCAGCAAGGTCTTAATATCACGACTGCCCAGGTTGCACATCTCTGCCTGAGCTGCAGGCCAGGCCTAGGAGGCCTCTGCTTTGGGGTTGGGTCACCCATTGGTATGCGACTGAGCTGAAGGAACAGGAAACTTTTGTCAGGGTTATGGGGGCAAATCCTTTGTTCACTTTTCATTGCAAGGCAGGGAGGTCTCAATTGCAAGCCCCCTGACATGTCCCTCTTCTTCTTGGCTTGGGGTTTTTAGGGGCCCAGGGAGGTTTAGGAGGAGTTGTCAGGGGGGCTATACAGCTCAGATGGGAAGCTGGAAATACTGGCTGCTCTGCAGCTGAGATGCTCCAGGAGGAGCTGAAGGAGTAGTGACGCTGCTCAGGTGAGGCTCTGGGCAACATCAGGATTTCAGGATGGGGCATGGGAGGGGTCTGCTCTGGTCTGAAATGCCCGAGCCCATCTCTGCAGTAGTGCCAGACTCAAGGGTGCGACAATTTCCAGTGCCCATGCTCATCCCGTTGAGCATCCCAGCACGTTCGGTGTGGGCAGGTTGCAGGGAAGTACAGCTGCAGGGTGCCCCTCGCTGGGCTCCTGAAGGGCTGTCCGTGGGGTGAGGCTGACCCCAAGTCATCCCCCCTTCAGGTCACAGTGCTGGACTCTTGGAAAAGCTTCTCAGCAGGGGGACAAGCTAGTTACTGCACTCTTGAATTTGAACTGCACCTGTGTAGCTGGCTTTTAATTTCCCAGGTGGCACAGTGGGGCTTTCTCATTCATTTCTTTCTCTCTCTCTTGTACACAAGTGTGGTCACATCCAAATGGACAAAGCTTGAGCCTAGATTTCAAGGAGCAGGAATCCCTAGAGCCTGGTGTGCGTCTCAGCCAAGATTGCAAAGCTTGTATCTGCAAACCTGCTTCTAGTCCCCCCACCACCGTGTCTGAGGGTGTGCGGGTGTGAGAGTCTGGTCGGGCAGTGGCCCAGCCTGGGCATGTGCGTTTGGTTCTGTTTGTCTCCTGACTGCTCACAATGCCCTTGCTTTGTCTTTCAGAAAGACTTGACCTACCTGCAGCAGTGGCTGGAGGCATTTGTCATGAACTTTGAGAAGATCATCACTGTGCAATCTCTGGAGCCAAGAAGGTGAGTGCATCCACTCCCCACCCACACATGTAAGCATTGTGGGGCGAGGAGAGGGGGGATGCCCCATGGGTTCCCTATCTACAGCTGGAGGTCAGATGGTCTCTGTGGTGAGTGAGTTCGAACCGCCAGAATTTCACTTCTCTCCCTGAAAGCTTTGCAGATTGCTATCTAATATTTTTCTTTAAAACAATGCAAACCGATGCTTGGGTGGAAATGCCAGAATAACAAACCTCCCTGGAGACTGATGCTTTCTGTACATCCACCGCTAATGAGCTCCAGGGGCTGTCAAGTGGAGCCAAATACACCCAGACTAGAAATAAGTCGTGCCGTTTTCCCAGCGAGCGTATTTGACCACTGGAGCAGCTCACCAAGCCAAGTCTATAAATACCTGGGGGCTCACCCAGAAGATACAGGCTCAATGCAGGCCCAACTGGGTGAGATTAGCTTCCCTGGCTTGTGTTGTTTCAATAGCAAACTAGGTCATTGCAATCTTCCCTTCTGATCTGAGCAAATAACCCGTAAACAGGAGCAGCACGGGCTGGGTGGTACAAAACTCCCCCGTGGTGTCCTCTCCAGTGCGTTTCACCTTTGTTCTGAAGTGACCGCTGCCTTGCTGAGCAGAGTCCAGCCTCTGTGGCCTGGTCAGTCATTAGGGGAAGGATGGGATGATATAAGTGGGCTGGGGTAACATACGGTGGCTAGGGTGATATAGGTGGGGTTGAGCAGGGGATTGGACTAGATGACCTCTCCTGAAGTCCCTTTCAAACCTCATTCTCTATGATTCTGTGAGGTCCATTAGTGCCATTTGTGTTTTGTGTCTGTGATGTGGCACCTTTCCTTCGAGGATGTAAAATGAGTCTCCACCACGCTCCTTTTCCAAGGGTCCCTGAGCAGTAGCGGCAAGGACATCAGCATTGGCTTCCTGGGACTAGATCAAACTCAGCCTCTGGGCAGTGCCTGGCTTGCTTCCTGGTTAATGGTCCCAGGAGCCGGTCGCGTGTCCCGTGGTCAGTTCGAATTGGATGAGGAGGTGGGGGTGTTGCTTGTTGCTCCTGCCTAGCATCATGGCTTTTGGGGGTTCATGATGATTTTGTGTGCGTGTGTGTGGCCATTGTGTGCGTGTAGTGCTTATGAGTGGGGAGCCTTGTGCCCCATGGGGAACTAGAGTAATTGATCTAATAACAAATAGGCCCTTGATAATTGGCCTGTCCTTTGTGGGGGCAAGGGGGTTAACTAGCTCAGTTACCCCAGTGCTCCTTCCATGTCTCTGTACGAGACTCCTGGGAATGGATATTCTCCCTCAACAGCTCCACCAGGAGGGTATTGGGAAGCTCTTGGCCATGGAGCAATTTGGAGGTCTGCACCCATGGAGGCAGGTTGGCAACTTGCACTGGTTTTCTTCCATCCATCCCTGCCAGGAGAAGCCTTCACTCTCCTGAGCCAGGAGGCTGGGGATATCACTGCAGACCTGAGGAGGAGTCTCAGTGCTGCAGCACTGCCTCGATGCAGATCCTTTTGCATGAGGCGGCACCTTCCCCGTTAGTCACTAGTGAACAGTGGTTCATGGCCTCCATGCTCTGCAAGGCCTCTTGTGATTCAGGTCCATGGAGGAGAGGGCTTCTCCAGGGCCAGCAGACCATGACCAAGCCACATCTGTGCCAGGAGATAGGCAGGCTGAGGGCAGCTGGCCAGGAAGCCATTGCAACATGAGGTCCTTGTTGCTCCACTCCTCTCGGAGTGGACATAAGCTCAGTGGCTGGCTCTTTCCATGGTAGGACTGGGGAGAGGATGGTAGATGTGAAGCAGGCAGCTGCTTGCTATCAAAGCTTCTCTTCCCCCTGCTTCTAACCTCCGCTGCCCAGTGCACCTCACTCCTGACCTGCCTTCCCCATACCTCTGCCATCTCACCTCGTTCCAGATCTGCAACCCCTTTCAAACAATCCAGCCCTGGACACCCTCCTCTATCAATGCCCCATGCTCCCACCTGCTCTTCCAGTGCTGAGCTCCCCACTCGGTCTGTGCTCATGTTCATTCAGGTATGACTGGATCAGAAGTGGCAGCCAGGGAGCTTCATGCTGGCACAGCAGAGCACAGTCTGGATGGCTCAGAGCTGGACTGGATTTAGCAAGCCCCCTCGCTGGCCCAGTGGTGTTCAATGCCAGTGTGCCCTGCTGCAGGTTACCCTAGAAGCTGCTGGAGAGGCTCACCACCTCTTACATGCATTATGTAATATTGCACAAGTTTCTCTGAAACCTGCAATCCTATTGCGCTAGAGTCGTGGAGTGCAAGGACCATCAGCGTCGGGGCGGACCGGGTCCTATGTGTTGGCACCGAGGAGGAGGCTGAGTGGTTCATCCACTGAGCTCTGTGTATGTGCCACCAGCTCTTCCTGGGTTGCTCTCACCGTGGCACTCTGCTTTAACTCAGCTGTGGTTGTTTTATCTCCCACAGCAGACCAAGTCCTGACTCTCCTGCACATGTCTCATTCCTGTGGCAGGGCTATGATGGCTGAAAGCAGGAAAGGCTTTTGGTCCCTTGCTGGACAGAACCTCCTGTAGGCTGGGAGGAGGCTTCCCCTTCCAGTCGTTGGGCAGTAACATAGCCCCAAACTTCATCCATCTTTTACGGAGGCTGGTCAGACCGGGTAGGGTTGGCCTGTCAGAGGAGTCGTCTCACGCTCTTGTTCCTCGCCCAGGGCTCAGGTCATCAGGCCACAAATGGGAATGGGCTTCTTTCCAACAGGAGCCAGGTCACTGGAGATGTTGGTAGGGAATAGGGCAAGATATGCTTCCTTTGCCTTTGCCCAGTCTCCAGCCAGGGGCTGCAAGACTTCAAGAGGTCAGCGGTCCATCGCTTTGATGCTTCCTAGGGAGTCTTAAGCGACCTCCCTGCTATTGAGAGCCTGTCCCAGAGGGTTGGCCATGGAAGCCAACAGGCTGACTGGGGTTGAAGCTCACAGCCAGTTAAAGGGATGTTATCTGCTGGCTGGGAGGCCTTCCTGACCCTAGCAGGTGGTTAGTTGATGCCTAGAAGCATGCAGCTTGATCAACATGACTGACTCTTATTCTAGCAGGAGTGAACCGCAGATTCCTCCCCACAAGCTTTAGTCTTCCTTTGCTGGGGGAGGCTGAATCTCAGATCTCCCAGCCTTTGTTTGCACGGGAACATTTCAGGTCATGCCACCGGTGTTGCTCTGTTCCTCTGGGCCTGCGGTTAGCACAGGCGCAGCAGCGATTTCCACACCGCTGGGGGAACATTGCAGCACCTGGCAGAGACGTTGCAATCTGTCCTCGCATCTTCCCCACCTGCAGTGTGGCTTCCTGCCTGCTCTCCGCCCCCCTCGCGAGTGAGCGAGCAAGCAAGGGGATGGGAGGGCTTGCTGGGTGTTTGTGTGTCCCCATTCACTGCAAGGTAAGTGACAGTAGCAGAGAACTCTCCATCGAGACACACGGGCCACTTTTTTACACGGCAGGGGGAGGATGGGGAGACGAGCTCAGTTCTAAGTTTCCATCTGTAAATTGCAGGGGAGATGGTGCATTCAGCTGTGGGAGGCTTTGCGTGCCCTGAGGATCTCCCTCAGACCTGCAGCCATGCCCATCCTGGGGCCTATGATGATGACCACAGGCTGCAGCCACTTGAGCAAGTCGTGCTGAAAGGGGAGGCGCCGGCTGCATTTCAATCCATGTCCTAGGCCACCTCCCATGCCAGGCGGAGGAGACTCCTGGGTGAAAATGTCACCTGCTGCCGCCGAAGCTCAGCTGGCCAAACTCGCAGACTCCCCAGGTCTCTCCATCGTGGCTATGCCCTTAAAGCGCTGAGGTTGTATGCTCCTTCTACAGAGCCAGCATGGAGGGGCTTTTGAGGCTTCCCGGGACAACGTCCAGCCAGCCGGCAGTTCCCGTTCCCCTGCATGTCCCACCTGGACCAGGGCTTGGAGGACCATGTCTGTTCCTTTCCCTTGGACCCTGTGGCCTCAGGCTTTGCAATGCAAAGCTATGAATGCTGCCTCAGTGCTGACTTATTCAGTCTCCCCCGATACCCCCCAGCAGACGGCAGGCCTGTGCAGAGCAAAGACTTGTGACCTTTCAGCCAGAGAATGAGTCTCCTTATTCATTCCCCAGGGCTTGCAGTACAGTAGAGGCAGCACCCTCCCCTCTTCATGCATCTTTCCCCCTCCTCATACATATGAAGAGTGAGGGGAGCTTGCAGCTGGTTGCTCTGACTCATCTGCCTGTGCTTGGTATTGGTTCCTGTTCTGTTTTCCTGTGGGCAACCCAGCTCCCCAGCCAGCATTAACGGTTCCTTCCTTCATCCCCTAGACCTCAGCTCCATAACACTGACCTCCCTGCTTGTCCCCAGGGGCAAAGGCAGAGAATCTGTCTGGTAGTCCCACAGCCTCTTCTTGTTTTGGGGAGACAGGCCCCAGCAGGGCAGGAAGACTACCAGAAGACCTTGATTCCCATGACTGTTGCAGTATGGCAGATGCCTTTTGGGAAAGATGGAAGGCTTGAGTCTGGGAGCAGGATGGTTCCTGCCTCTCCAGCCTATTGGTTCAGGCTCTCAGCAGATTCAGGCAGGCACAGCAGCTCCCTAGACTCTGCAGGGAACTAGCAGACCTCCTGTGTCTAAAAAGAAAGGCAGACAAAGGATGGAGGACGGCATCCACCTCCAAGAAGGAATACTCTGCACTGGTCCAGACCTTCAGGGAGCAAACCAGGAAAGCCAAGGCTGCAACTGAATTCCAGCTAGCTACAAGTATCAAGGACAATAAAAAGTCTTTTTTTTAGATATGTGGGGAGCTGGAGGAAAAGCAAGGGAAACATTGGACCCCTGCTGAACCAGATGGGACAACTGGCAACTGATGCCCAGGAAAAAGCCAACTTACTAAATGAGTACTTTGCATTGGTCTTTCACCAGTCCCATGGGACGCCCCTACCCATTATGGGACAGGGAGGCCTGGGTGAGGGAGGTCCCTTACCCCCCATCAATGCTGACCTTGTGAAGGAACACCTTGACAGGCTGGATACCTTCAAGTCAGCCAGCCCTGGTGGTTTAAATCCCAAGGTACTCAAGGAGCTGGCGAGCATTGTAGCCCAGCCCCTGGCACAGGTCTTTGAGAGCTCCTGGCACTCTGGTGTAGTGCCCGAAGACTGGAAG